CCTGACGGGACCCAGCAGAACAGAACGCTCAATTTACAGTGGCACATTAATAAGACTCCTGGGCAACTAGGAAGCACCAGAGGACCAGCGTGTGCAAGCAGTGGAGTGCAAGCGGGGACGGCCAACTCACACAGAACCGGCAGAGCCAATCGAGGAGCTTGCTGGGCTGGTCGCTAACTAAGGGAACAGGATTCAGCTTAGCGGAGCCTTTTCCGCTTGGTCCTAGTGCTTGACGGGTCTCTGTTTACTCATATTACTATAGTGTAACATTGTTTATGGATGGTAAAAACTGCAGGGGACCAAAACGGCCTTTTGAAAAAGTGCAGGGGACATGTCCCCTGTGCCCCCCCCCAAATTACGTCCGTGATCTGAACTGCTACTGAATAGATTCCCATGGAATTTTATACAACCATTCATGGTGCTAGACTGAATCATAATGACTTTGCTGATCTCCTTATAGTGCCTCCATGAGGCTGACATTTTTGAGTTTTTAAATCAAGTATTGCCATGAAATTTGGTGCCAACAGGATGAAATGTAATAACTTTAAGGATCCTCTGACTTTTTATGTGGCACCACCATCAGGTCAACATTTGAATATGTTTAATACTGGTTGGTTTATAACCAAATACCTCCACTGACTGACTAATAATATCGGCCTCAACTGTACTGCATGTTAGCGTCGTCATTGTGAGCATGCTGACAGTATTTAGCTTCAAGCACTGAAGTGACATACAACCTCACAGAGCCACATGGCTGTAGTCTTAAAACACAAAAACAGAAGTGATATTCAGAGACTGCATGTTGAAAATGTAAAATAGAGAAATAGAATGAGTGCAGATACAATCTGAAGCTATTAATGTACTTCTTGTTTTATGTTTATAATTACTGAACTCATGTTCATAAAATCTGAAATTTCCGGGTAGCAAGAATCTTTTTTTTTTTTGTAGTACATTCTTGAAGGTTTTGCACTACAGGTAGTTATGGTAAGTAGTGGAGACAAAAAATACTATGATAGCTAGTGAACACGCCTTCACATATTGCAAAATGGAATTCTTTATTTCCTAAAAACGAACTGTAATTCACAAAAAACTGCATGACAAAAAATGTTAAATGCATCTCCAAGTTGGACTGTTACAAGATTTATCAAATCACCATCTAGTGTACTTCCCGTTTCTTTCTAATGACTTACTTGAAAAAATGTGACACCAACCACAAACAGAGAAGAAGCAGAAAAGGAGAAGAAAGAGAAAAAAAATGAGTCACTCAGCAGAGATCACTGTGAAGAGAAAAGAGCAGAACAAGGCAAAGACAGGTAGAAACACAACTTTTGCCCTATTTTATAAATATATTTTTGAGTGAATCATTCTTCCCTGAGTAATATCATAAAACATGTGTATCAGTGCTGTTGTTGAGCTGTGGTAAAGGCAATTGTTATATATAATACAATATTTGAATATATGTTTAATTCTATGTTTAAACTTTCATTTACATATTTAAGTTTCATTCCATATTCAAAGCTTCTATTATATATACTAATTTATTTTTGTAGGGATTTAAAAGTAACTGCACCAGAGCTAACAGACAATTTGATTCTGTTGTCCCTGGGTGGGTAGACAGAAAACAACCACAGTGCTTTCGATGGTGATGGTAGAGACTGTTGGTCATTGGTGTGTTCATTTTGGTTGTGACTGCCATAACATATGATTTACATCATTTTCATACTCAACAACAAACTATTCAGTGACACCTGGTATATGGAGGTTTCTGCATTTGTTATGTTTCTTCATGATTCACCGATCTGTATATAGAAAGAGGTGGAGAGGTATCAAAGCTGTCGACCATAAGTATTTTATCGCAAATGTATTCAAATTGGCTGTGGAGCTGTTTCTGAACTTCATTAATTGAACTTCATGTTTGTGTTTTATCCTCCATGTGAAAAGAGTGTGTGGACAAAGAGACTGACGGTCTCAATTATCAAACCAAGATGTTTGTTCTAATCTGGGCGACTCTGCTGTTCGCTGTGACAAGCAGCAATGCTCACACAGGTATGAGTCTCTGCCAGCAATATATTCTTTATTTTTTTACATAGCATTATGAATGATAAATTGTGTCAAATAAATTGTGATAGTAAATGTTCCTTTAGACGTTTTCAGAAATGCTTTGAAAATACACACATCTGGAAAGATCCAGATGTGTGTATTTCCAGTTTTTCCAGATCCAGTTTGTAATCTTCTGCATACGGACAGTATCTGTGCATAATGTACCACCACCTTGGATCTGTACGTATTGTTGTGCATTTATTCCAGTGTTTTTCCAACTAAAATTTAGCAGACACTAATTTGATGACTCAAAACACTTAATCACTTGGAAATTCTGGAATTAATTAAATTAAACGTATGTGTACCAAAGATGGCACTTTTTAGGAGTAATCTCTTTCAGTGACATATTTTGGTGTATGTCAAAATCTAAACATCTTCTAAAGTATAACTGCGTTTGTTTCCCTCTTTTTTGTTTGTCGAGTGCTCTCCTGTCAACAGCTGTTTTATAAACATAAAGAGTCAATGTACTGTACAAATTTCCTCTGTCTGTGTTTCTCTTGCTGTTTGCTTTGACAGGTGCATTGACGAAGCAAGGACCATGTGACAATGGGTTCTGTATCACTCTTAGTGAAGGAGAAATAACAGCAGAGGCTGGACTCTGTGCTGTGATACCGTGTTCTTTCACTACTGGTTCTGGCTTTACACCCAAAAATATAATTTGGTACAAATGTGAACACTCTAAAAAAAGATGTGTTAAATCAGATCAGATAATATTTCACACAAAAAAGACCAACAGAAAAAAACAGTCGGGGTTCGAAGGACGAGTGTCACTGTTGGAGCCTGATGTGAGTCTGAACAACTGCAGCATCATCATCAATGACCTCACTGAGTCAGACTCTGGATCATATCAGCT